TGGTCGAAGCTTCGTTCCGATCATATTCCTTTCAGTGATATCTTCTGCGTCAATTCAAAATTTCGTCTCTCACTAAGCTGACACACGGAAGAATAACCGACATACTATTTAAAGGAGCATTAAGTTCAACTCGCTGTCTGATTTTCTCGTTGTGTAAGAAAAATCAGGGATCTCCATCTCTGGTATTGTGTGTCAGTTAACAATCAATAGGAAGTGACATCAGTTTCCACTTTGATCAGCTTCGCCCGGGCCGTCGGAATGCCAGCCAATGGTCAGTCGTTGAAAATGTATATTGAAGCACTAATGGTTCCACAGTTTGACTGTGTCCAAGAGATATATTATAGGAAACCAGAGCAATTACGGTCCTCAAATAATCACAACCTGCACACTTGGGACAAGATTTTCTGAGCTCCCTTCTTCTTAAGGTAGTGTTGTGTTGACGTCATCAAAGCCCTCTTCTGATCTTCACCTTCACACCGTTTTAAGAAGTCCCAGCATGCTTTCTGCAGATCCTTCAGTCCAAATTCTATGGCAGCACAGAATAAACCTGTTCAAATAAGAAGCAGCCATTGATATGAGGATGTTATATTCATAATAACATATTATAATTCACTGTTGATATTACAGTTTATTACAGTAAAGGAGTAAACGCAACAATATCGAATGTCATAAACAGAAAGTTTTTTCTTCCTCCAAACACATTTGACTGCTCACCTGTGACTGTTCCAAGTTGTACTCGAACTCGGCCGGAGTGTAAGAAGTTAAGAAGACTGGAAAAGACAACATGGTCGTAGTCTGGGATTGGGATCTGGAGTTTGCTGTGCAGATTGACAGCTGACGACTTGGCTCTCATCCTCAGTCGAGATTTAGGTTTCACCGACTCTGTGACCTTCCTCTGGTGATGCAAGATCATCTGGTAGAAAACCCTGGAAAGATGAAGGGAAACTATGTATATTTTCATCTACAGATCTCATAGGAAACTCATATCTGCACGTGTGAATAATAATAAAAGGGCAGGGATGAAATGTATGTGTTGAAGCACAGATACTTTCTTAAATCCTTACTGCCAGATAATCATGTTGTTGCATGTGCTTTAATTTGGGATACACACATTTATCACGGTGTTTACTTCTAAAAGTTTCCGAATAAAAGACAATTGGCGTGTTTCAGTTGTATGGGATATTTACCTGCTCCTGGTAGCCAGGATTGCTTTAACTCCATGAATGGGAAGCTGCCGGTTGCCAACTAGAAAAGTGACGTCACACAACTCCGGCATACTAGTGATGTACTGTAGACTTTCTGACAGGTCGGTCATGTTGCTGTACATCATTACCTCCTTGTGGCCGCTAGATGAGGCTCTGACCTTGGAGGATGGAGTTGAAGGTGGTGACGGGGCCTGGGTGAATGAGTCACACGATTCATAGCCCGACGATCTTGCATCTGAAAATGTTACATAAATTTAGCCATTCATTTGACATGGACACTTGTTTCATGCGAAAGTAAGATATATTTTGAAAGAGCTTTGCATAGTTTCATATAAAAGATGAAGTTTTTTATGTTTTCTTCAGAACAAGTATTTTTTATGCTGAGAGCATACTGAACGGAACAACGAATATTATGTGTTCATTTATTTGACTTTATCGATTACATACATAATACCATTGAGTATTAACTCACCTTCGCTATCTCTGTTGTACGTGTTTGTTGTGTTTTCTAAGAGGTCGCTGTCAAGGAGACAGAGCTCAGATTCACATCTCTTCATGCAGCTTAGTTGTATGAGTTATCCGGTTACAAGAATGAACATTAGCTGTATGTTCAATTGCCAGAGAACAGTGATGTTAGGCTCTCTACAAATCACGTTTAATACCCCTTTTCCAATACCACGTGGCCAAACGCAAAGTGACACTGATCACTTTACAATGTCACGCCAACGCTCTTAGCATTATTGGGAACGTGACACTGTAATGTTTACTTTTGCTGCTGTGGTCACGTGACAAGTGCCAAAGAGCATGTTGGGATCGGGGGATTAAAGGCCGTTAAGTATCAAATTAGCGATCAATAGTTAATCCTTTACAAACAATAGAACATAATCAGATTAGGTAAGGTATTTGCGCCCAGTGATTTTTACTATTCAATTAGTTGAATTAGCATTCGGAAATGATTTAAACAGATTGAAAACGCTGTTGACGTCAGTGAACTTACGATCATTGTAATTACTGTGATGTCGGGAGTCGTCATTGAAACTTAAACCTATGTTCTGACAATAATCTAAAGTGGAATGAAGTTTGTTTGCGTTTGACACTAAGTAAGTGGCATCCATCTTTTCCGGAATTTGTTCAAGAAAGGAATCTTCTGACTATGCACCATGCAAGGCTCATTCATTCCGCACACGCTGTGTGGATAAAGTCACACGTTACGTAAATGAAGAGCCGAGATGATGGCTTCTTTATAAAACGAAAAGCGCCACCTGAAGAAAACTATTCCTATTCCAAGAAACAATCCTAAAATTGCGTCAAGGGTGTTTAAAATGGATATCCGTTAGAAAGATGAACTTAGTCTATTAGATACTATGAACGTACTGTATGTACTGTACTAATATGTTTAATCCGTATTTATTGAAGAAGTAAGAAATCAATATGGTAAGAAACGTGCTTGTTTTCTTACCAAATATCTCATTACATACACAAGTGAGTTAACTTTGTTTCCGTAGTTAACTAAAACAACTGGTAATTGATAAGAAGATAGTGTGGATGATCAACTTGTCTATTTCAATTGATAAGTTTAAGATCATTAAATCCAGTGCAACAGTTTCCCTATGCACATGCTTTTGAGTTGATGGCGATGTTATAGAACCTAATAAGGTTATCATACACCCGATATCCTATAATCTATAACAATCTGTTTAACACTGTAAATGTATTTGTGTTCTTGTGAAATGGATATTTTCTCTATGTTCAAACAACAGTTACATTTCATAGATGCGTTTTGTATTGAAGTCTGACACAAAGAGCATAATATACTTTATATACTGAATAAAGTGTGTGAAGAAACTCAGCGGAAATGATTAATTTGCAGTTATTGCTCAATCACAACAATTGGAAAATATTCTTTTCGTGCATGGTTGGAATTGTACAGTGATTATATTATTGAGGGTATTGACAAATAATACAGATAATAATGATATGATTGTTCTCCATAGCATGTCGGGTGCATAAAACAACTGCTGTGTGAGCTCGTGTCGCACTGGATGTTGTGGAAATGTCATTATCGAAACTGGATTCAGATAAACGATGTGGAATTCATCTTACTTAGAAATGAGGCATGGAGTCAAACTTGAGTTAAACTTTACGACATTAAAATGTATGTATACACCTTAAATTGTGAAAACATACCCAATAACAAATATAAAAACATTATAGAGACACGTTGAGAATGAATATTGCAAGATGTTGCTTTGACTGCAATAGATTCGCGTTATATTTGTTGTTAACATGTGTGGTATGCTATTTATAACAGTGGTAATTTGCATTGTACATGAAATATGGACATAATATAAAAATATGGATATAAATGAAAACAACAAACCACTGCTTATTTATTAAATGGACAAACCATATGCGATAAAGAATATTCTTAAAAAGTGACTGAATATCGGCATCGGATAGTTTTTGGGGACCAAACACAGTTATTCTGTATTTTAATCAGTCTACATCTTCCAAGTACAGCATTAATTAATGATAACGGATATCTTGTTCTATATGAACAGATACAAGGAACATCTCTGTGACTACTGGCACCATGTTGTGTTTACTAATCATATTCGAATTCCATCACTTCTGAAACCATTCCATGTCTACCAACATGATGTCATGTTCACTGCCTCTTTTCCCCGTCTTTTGACAGATTTACATGTCTTTTCTGGCATTTGAATTAAATATGTTGTGTATGAAAATAGTTTACATTTAGTCAAAAACTTGGCGTGTTCGATTTATATCTGTTATTGGATGAGATACATGCATGTCGGGAAAATGAACTGATAGAACATGTTTATTTAATCATTTCCAAATGATGAACGGTGAGAGAAATTGCAGATTTGTGGTAAGAAAAACGATACAACTGGAATGAAGGTTCAGAGTAATGCAGTTACAAAAGTTGACGTATGTTAGATGAGATACGGTTGAATGATAATGCTGTACTATTTATTGCAGCGGTTTTGTTTAAAATAGAGAATATCTCCAGCGCTGGACCAAATGATCTTTTGCCGGTATTTTATATGCTTGCAATGTGTAAAATGTAGATATTTGTTCTGTCCAAATGGGATAGAAGCAGCATATTTGATCAAATTCATCACTTTCTCATCAACCACTATCCATTTACTTCTCTGCTATTCCTTCATTTCTACTATTTTTCTTTCTACTGCTTATCATGTTAAATCCAGCCTTTTGCTATCAGAACAGACAAGGCCCTAGTTACCTTCAGGTACGTAGGCATGTAATGGCCAATTATAAAGTAGTGGCTTCAAGATGTGATAATAAACTCTAGGAAAACATTAAAGAATTAGAAAAATATTCCTTTTCCTGAAGAATGTCAAATTGTCACACGTAATAGAATAACTAGACAATATTGACATCAGGTCTTCCTGAAATGGAACATCAGGCAGACAACACAGGATCATGATTTGATTTAAATTTTATTTGCATTTGACAACAAGAACAAAACGAACAACTCCCATAAAGGGATAACAATACATATATAGCACATGTACAATCTAAGAGACTTACAATATTAAGTAGTGTTACACAGTAATATTTACGCCATAGTTCTCTATGCATAGTTACATCCCTTAGACGTGCCAGGACACTCTGGTCGAAGCTTCGTTCCGATCATATTCCTTTCAGTGATATCTTCTGCGTCAATTCAAATTTTCGTCTCTCACTAAGCTGACACACGGAAGAATAACCGACATACTATTTAAAGGAGCATTAAGTTCAACTCGCTGTCTGATTTTCTCGTTGTGTAAGAAAAATCAGGGATCTCCATCTCTGGTATTGTGTGTCAGTTAACAATCAATAGGAAGTGACATCAGTTTCCACTTTGATCAGCTTCGCCCGGGCCGTCGGAATGCCAGCCAATGGTCAGTCGTTGAAAATGTATATTGAAGCACTAATGGTTCCACAGTTTGACTGTGTCCAAGAGATATATTATAGGAAACCAGAGCAATTACGGTCCTCAAATAATCACAACCTGCACACTTGGGACAAGATTTTCTGAGCTCCCTTCTTCTTAAGGTAGTGTTGTGTTGACGTCATCAAAGCCCTCTTCTGATCTTCACCTTCACACCGTTTTAAGAAGTCCCAGCATGCTTTCTGCAGATCCTTCAGTCCAAATTCTATGGCAGCACAGAATAAACCTGTTCAAATAAGAAGCAGCCATTGATATGAGGATGTTATATTCATAATAACATATTATAATTCACTGTTGATATTACAGTTTATTACAGTAAAGGAGTAAACGCAACAATATCGAATGTCATAAACAGAAAGTTTTTTCTTCCTCCAAACACATTTGACTGCTCACCTGTGACTGTTCCAAGTTGTACTCGAACTCGGCCGGAGTGTAAGAAGTTAAGAAGACTGGAAAAGACAACATGGTCGTAGTCTGGGATTGGGATCTGGAGTTTGCTGTGCAGGTTGACAGCTGACGACTTGGCTCTCATCCTCAGTCGAGATTTAGGTTTCACCGACTCTGTGACCTTCCTCTGGTGATGCAAGATCATCTGATAGAAAACCCTGGAAAGATGAAGGGAAACTATGTATATGTTCATCTACAGATCTCATAGGAAACTCATATCTGCACGTGTGAATAATAATAAAAGGGCAGGGATGAAATGTATGTGTTGAAGCATTGCTACTTTCTTAAATCCTTACTGCCAGATAATCATGTTGTTGCATGTGCTTTAATTTGGAATACACACATTTATCACGGTGTTTACTTCTAAAAGTTTCCGAATAAAAGACAATTGGCGTGTTTCAGTTGTATGGGATATTTACCTGTTCCTGGTAGCCAGGATTGCTTTAACTCCATGAATGGGAAGCTGCCGGTTGCCAACTAGAAAAGTGACGTCACACAACTCCGGCATACTAGTGATGTACTGTAGACTTTCTGACAGGTCGGCCATGTTGCTGTACATCATTACCTCCTTGTGGCCGCTAGATGAGGCTCTGACCTTGGAGGATGGAGTTGAAGGTGGTGACGGGGCCTGGGTGAATGAGTCACACGATTCATAGCCCGACGATCTTGCATCTGAAAATGTTACATAAATTTAGCCATTCATTTGACATGGACACTTGTTTCATGCGCAAGTAAGATATATTTTGAAAGAGCTTTGCATAGTTTCATATAAAAGATGAAGTTTTTTATGTTTTCTTCAGAACAAGTATTTTTTATGCTGAGAGCATACTGAACGGAACAACGAATATTATGTGTTCATTTATTTGACTTTATCGATTACATACATAATACCATTGAGTATTAACTCACCTTCGCTATCTCTGTTGTACGTGTTTGTTGTGTTTTCTAAGAGGTCGCTGTCAAGGAGACAGAGCTCAGATTCACATCTCTTCATGCTGCTTAGTTGTATGAGTTATCCGGTTACAAGAATGAACATTAGCTGTATGTTCAATTGCCAGAGAACAGTGATGTTAGGCTCTCTACAAATCACGTTTAATACCCCTTTTCCAATACCACGTGGCCAAACGCAAAGTGACACTGATCACTTTACAATGTCACGCCAACGCTCTTAGCATTATTGGGAACGTGACACTGTAATGTTTACTTTTGCTGCTGTGGTCACGTGACAAGTGCCAAAGAGCATGTTGGGATCGGGGGATTAAAGGCCGTTAAGTATCAAATTAGCGATCAATAGTTAATCCTTTACAAACAATAGAACATAATCAGATTAGGTAAGGTATTTGCGTCCAGTGATTTTTACTATTCAATTAGTTGAATTAGCATTCGGAAATGATTTAAACAGATTGAAAACGCTGTTGACGTCAGTGAACTTACGGTCATTGTAATTACTGTGATGTCGGGAGTCGTCATTGAAACTTAAACCTATGTTCTGACAATCATCTAAAGTGGAATGAAGTTTGTTTGCGTTTGACACTAAGTAAGTGGCATCCATCTTTTCCGGAATTTGTTCAAGAAAGGAATCTTCTGACTATGCACCATGCAAGGTTCATTCATTCCGCACACGCTGTGTGGATAAAGTCACACGTTCCGTAAATGAAGAGCCGAGATGATGGCTTCTTTATAAAACGAAAAGCGCCACCTGAAGAAAACTATTCCTATTCCAAGAAACAATCCTAAAATTGCGTCAAGGGTGTTTAAAATGGATATCCGTTAGAAAGATGAACTATTAGATACTATGAACGTACTGTATGTACTGTACTAATATGTTTAATCCGTATTTATTGAAGAAGTAAGAAATCAATATGGTAAGAAACGTGCTTGTTTTCTTACCAAATATCTCATTACATACACAAGTGAGTTTGTTTCCGTAGTTAACTAAAACAACTGGTAATTGATAAGAAGATAGTGTGGATGATCAACTTGTCTATTTCAATTGATAAGTTTAAGATCATTAAATCCAGTGCAACAGTTTCCCTATGCACATGCTTTTGAGTTGATGGCGATGTTATAGAACCTAATAAGGTTATCATACACCCGATATCCTATAATCTATAACAATCTGTTTAACACTGTAAATGTATTTGTGTTCTTGTGAAATGGATATTTTCTCTATGTTCAAACAACAGTTACATTTCATAGATGCACTTTGTATTGAAGTCTGACACAAAGAGCATATACTTTATATACTGAATAAAGTGTGTGAAGAAACTCAGCGGAAATGATTAATTTGCAGTTATTGCTCAATCACAACAATTGGAAAATATTCTTTTCGTGCATGGTTGGAATTGTACAGTGATTATATTATTGAGGGTATTGACAAATAATACAGATAATAATGATATGATTGTTCTCCATAGCATGTCGGGTGCATAAAACAACTGCTGTGTGAGCTCGTGTCGCACTGGATGTTGTGGAAATGTCATTATCGAAACTGGATTCAGATAAACGATGTGGAATTCATCTTACTTAGAAATGAGGCATGGAGTCAAACTTGAGTTAAACTTTACGACATTAAAATGTATGTATACACCTTAAATTGTGAAAACATACCCAATAACAAATATAAAAACATTATAGAGACACGTTGAGAATGAATATTGCAAGATGTTGCTTTGACTGCAATAGATTCGCGTTATATTTGTTGTTAACATGTGTGGTATGCTATTTATAACAGTGGTAATTTGCATTGTTCATGAAATATTGACATAATATAAAAATATGGATATAAATGAAAACAACAAACCACTGCTTATTTATTAAATGGACAAACCATATGCGATAAAGAATATTCTTAAAAAGTGACTGAATATCGGCATCGGATAGTTTTGGGGGACCAAACACAGTTATTCTGTATTTTAATCAGTCTACATCTTCCAAGTACAGCATTAATTAATGATAACGGATATCTTGTTCTATATGAACAGATACAAGGAACATCTCTGTGACTACTGGCACCATGTTGTGTTTACTAATCATATTCGAATTCCATCACTTCTGAAACCATTCCATGTCTACCAACATGATGTCATGTTCACTGCCTCTTTTCCCCGTCTTTTGACAGATTTACATGTCTTTTCTGGCATTTGAATTAAATATGTTGTGTATGAAAATAGTTTACATTTAGTCAAAAACTTGGCGTGTTCGATTTATATCTGTTATTGGATGAGATACATGCATGTCGGGAAAATGAACTGATAGAACATGTTTATTTAATCATTTCCAAATGATGAACGGTGAGAGAAATTGCAGATTTGTGGTAAGAAAAACGATACAACTGGAATGAAGGTTCAGAGTAATGCAGTTACAAAAGTTGACGCATGTTAGATGAGATACGGTTGAATGATAATGCTGTACTATTTATTGCAGCGGTTTTGTTTAAAATAGAGAATATCTCCAGCGCTGGACCAAATGATCTTTTGCCGGTATTTTATATGCTTGCAATGTGTAAAATGTAGATATTTGTTCTGTCCAAATGGGATAGAAGCAGCATATTTGATCAAATTCATCACTTTCTCATCAACCACTATCCATTTACTTCTCTGCTATTCCTTCATTTCTACTATTTTTCTTTCTACTGCTTATCATGTTAAATCCAGCCTTTTGCTATCAGAACAGACAAGGCCCTAGTTACCTTCAGGTACGTAGGCATGTAATGGCCAATTATAAAGTAGTGGCTTCAAGATGTGATAATAAACTCCAGGAAAACATTAAAGAATTAGAAAAATATTCCTTTTCCTGAAGAATGTCAAATTGTCACACGTAATAGAATAACTAGACAATATTGACATCAGGTCTTCCTGAAATGGAACATCAGGCAGACAACACAGGATCATGATTTGATTTAAATTTTATTTGCATTTGACAACAAGAACAAAACGAACAACTCCCATAAAGGGATAACAATACATATATAGCACATGTACAATCTAAGAGACTTACAATATTAAGTAGTGTTACACAGTAATATTTATGCCATAGTTCTCTATGCATAGTTACATCCTTTAGACGTGCCAGGACACTCTGGTCGAAGCTTCGTTCCGATCATATTCCTTTCAGTGATATCTTCTGCGTCAATTCAAATTTTCGTCTCTCACTAAGCTGACACACGGAAGAATAACCGACATACTATTTAAAGGAGCATTAAGTTCAACTCGCTGTCTGATTTTCTCGTTGTGTAAGAAAAATCAGGGATCTCCATCTCTGGTATTGTGTGTCAGTTAACAATCAATAGGAAGTGACATCAGTTTCCACTTTGATCAGCTTCGCCCGGGCCGTCGGAATGCCAGCCAGTGGTCAGTCGTTGAAAATGTATATTGAAGCACTAATGGTTCCACAGTTTGACTGTGTCCAAGAGATATATTATAGGAAACCAGAGCAATTACGGTCCTCAAATAATCACAACCTGCACACTTGGGACAAGATTTTCTGAGCTCCCTTCTTCTTAAGGTAGTGTTGTGTTGACGTCATCAAAGCCCTCTTCTGATCTTCACCTTCACACCGTTTTAAGAAGTCCCAGCATGCTTTCTGCAGATCCTTCAGTCCAAATTCTATGGCAGCACAGAATAAACCTGTTCAAATAAGAAGCAGCCATTGATATGAGGATGTTATATTCATAATAACATATTATAATTCACTGTTGATATTACAGTTTATTACAGTAAAGGAGTAAACGCTTCAATATCGAATGTCATAAACAGAAAGTTTTTTCTTCCTCCAAACACATTTGACTGCTCACCTGTGACTGTTCCAAGTTGTACTCGAACTCGGCCGGAGTGTAAGAAGTTAAGAAGACTGGAAAAGACAACATGGTCGTAGTCTGGGATTGGGATCTGGAGTTTGCTGTGCAGGTTGACAGCTGACGACTTGGCTCTCATCCTCAGTCGAGATTTAGGTTTCACCGACTCTGTGACCTTCCTCTGGTGATGCAAGATCATCTGATAGAAAACCCTGGAAAGATGAAGGGAAACTATGTATATGTTCATCTACAGATCTCATAGGAAACTCATATCTGCACGTGTGAATAATAATAAAAGGGCAGGGATGAAATGTATGTGTTGAAGCATTGCTACTTTCTTAAATCCTTACTGCCAGATAATCATGTTGTTGCATGTGCTTTAATTTGGATTACACACATTTATCACGGTGTTTACTTCTAAAAGTTTCCGAATAAAAGACAATTGGCGTGTTTCAGTTGTATGGGATATTTACCTGTTCCTGGTAGCCAGGATTGCTTTAACTCCATGAATGGGAAGCTGCCGGTTGCCAACTAGAAAAGTGACGTCACACAACTCCGGCATACTAGTGATGTACTGTAGACTTTCTGACAGGTCGGCCATGTTGCTGTACATCATTACCTCCTTGTGGCCGCTAGATGAGGCTCTGACCTTGGAGGATGGAGTTGAAGGTGGTGACGGGGCCTGGGTGAATGAGTCACACGATTCATAGCCCGACGATCTTGCATCTGAAAATGTTACATAAATTTAGCCATTCATTTGACATGGACACTTGTTTCATGCGCAAGTAAGATATATTTTGAAAGAGCTTTGCATAGTTTCATATAAAAGATGAAGTTTTTTATGTTTTCTTCAGAACAAGTATTTTTTATGCTGAGAGCATACTGAACGGAACAACGAATATTATGTGTTCATTTATTTGACTTTATCCATTACATACATAATACCATTGAGTATTAACTCACCTTCGCTATCTCTGTTGTACGTGTTTGTTGTGTTTTCTAAGAGGTCGCTGTCAAGGAGACAGAGCTCAGATTCACATCTCTTCATGCTGCTTAGTTGTATGAGTTATCCGGTTACAAGAATGAACATTAGCTGTATGTTCAATTGCCAGAGAACAGTGATGTTAGGCTCTCTACAAATCACGTTTAATACCCCTTTTCCAATACCACGTGGCCAAACGCAAAGTGACACTGATCAC